GTTGCTCTCGCTAGCGTTCCTGGTTCGCCTCCAGCTGTGCCTGCTCCATTGGCACCGCCTTTCGAGTATGACGAGGTATTGAAAGAACTCGAGCAGCGCCCCGAACTCTCTGAAGACTTTTCAGGTGATTCATCTTATGGGGATACTCGCCAGTTATTGCAGTTGTCTCAGCCGTTGCCTTTGCACGCCAACAATACCTCTGCCGCTCACGCCAATATTCTCACAGCGTCGGGACATAGACTTGAGCCGTCATCATCCTACTCTCAGCCTGACGGTTACAGTGCTCCCCTTACCCCGCAGGAGGCACTAGATGAAGCTGAAAAAATTTTCCAAGGAGGCTCTGCTCATGAAGGTGACGAAGCAATTCCAGCTATATGGGCTAGACGAAGCTCGGGAAATCTCCTCCGTAAGTCCGAAGATGTCAAATTAGATGAGGAGAAGGAAGATTGGGAGACTATCGGGATTGAGCGGCCTTCTATGGAAGATCATGATGACAGCATCGCCGATTATAGCAGCACTGAGGATAGCCGTGCAAGCCTTGGCACCATACCCGAGTCCTCATTGCCAGTACTAGACAGCCAGCCGTTCCAGCGGCACTCTTCAGGATACCGACATCCTAGCCCGTTGCCTCCACATGTGCATCCGTTCAATTCTTCGCCGCCTGCCTTAGGTAGTCGTGCAAGCATTCAGACCGCGCCGGAGGGTGGTTTCGCCAATCCGGCTCCCGCAAATCCTCCGACTTCGGCAACCGCTCCCACATTGTCACCGGGGCATGGTGCAATTGCTCCTGACGTATGGGACCCGCCGTATCAATATAGGCGGTATGTACCTCACTATGAGATGAGCTACGACGAGGCTAAGGAATTGGTGGATTCGGGCCCGAATGAGGAGATTCTTTACGAAGATCCACAGCACTATACGTTGCCTACGAGCAGTAGCCCTAGAACTGGTGAAAATATTGCTCTTCAACGGGAAAATACGTTTGAGAAAATGTCTTCCTTAGGGCCAAAGGGTAATCTGACCGGAACGCCCCTAGGCACCGGTATGCATGAGGTGGGAAGTAGTGTTGCAAACACAAGCAGCCCAGGTGCTAGATGGACCTCTAGTCCCTACCATCAGGAAGGCTCCACTGGGTTCTACGTCTCTCCAGATCGAGTTACAAGCCATACCAAGATCCGTAGGTCGGACTTCCAGCTTCCTGTTTCTGATCCACAACATGATCGTACCCCGTCTGAGTGCACGATATTCCCAAGCCACTATCGACTAGCGAGCTTGAGTTCTCAGGGGAGTGCTCAGGAAGCGCCTCGGTCAATCCCGGAGAAGCATGCTGCTGGTGACCGGATTACGAACCGGCGCTCACAGAGATTCCCTGTTTCGCCAAATTATACTCGCTCGACCCGTGCGGCTGTTCCAGGCCAAACAAAGTTGCGTGAGATGATCCTCGCTCCAGAGTCTCTATCGTCGGGCGGTAGTGAGCGGATGGGGACAGCTATTAGTGATCGGCCTTCGACATGCAATACGGAATCTCCTCTTAGGCGCAATCTTGAGAGTCAAGGCACCTTGCACAGCCAGGGAACTTTCAGAACCGTTCTAGCGAATGAGCTTTCACCTCACCTGCTATGTCCGGAGCGCGCACTGGATCCTCAGGAGGAACATGAACGCCGTATGAAGTCTTGGATTATTTTTGCACTGTTCTGCGTCCTACCACCTATGCTCATTCTCTACCGGTGGATGGGTAATGCCGTCATGGCGACTTGGACAAATGGTCGGCTAGTTCAGTGCACAGCAACGCCGAAAAAAGTCGCACTGTGGGCTGGTATCGCAATCAATATTGGCGGCAGCGGAATTATCATCATTTCTATCCTTGTTGCTCATGCTGCTAAGCTTTTGTGAGCTGGCGCGTCGTTTACTTTGCGACACGAAAGGTATGTTTCTTTTACCTCATATGTTGGATATGTTCACTCACTCGTAGGAGAGATGCCGCTCGCGTGAGCGGACATTGGCTTCTTTTGAACAACACCGATTTTACCCAAGCAACCCCTATCATGGCCGCGAGCTTTGATTCGGGCATAATGCACTATGAGTGAGCTAAAGGCGTTCGTTTTGCTCGACGGAATATTCTGAAATTCCCTTCTCGGAGATGAAGCGGGAGAACACACTCTTTTGAATTCTTTCCTTTTGTACTTGTGCATTACCTTGGCGTTAGGGCCAGATGGCAAAAGCATTGAAGAGGATGCATTGTTTTCTTCTTCGACTAGAGCCTTGGGGGTTGCATATTGGCATTTGCAATGGGCACCTGGAGTATATCATTGGAAGGCTCGGGCTGGTGTTTACGATTTGATTCTTTCCTACATATCGAATCAGCACACGTTATGGAGTTATGGATGATGAGAGGACATCCTCTTGATGGATGCTTTTTGGCAAATAGCGGATGGCACCCTTCGCGGCTAACGTTTCTGGTATTTGAAGAACCTAATACTTTGCCGACTCACTTCGAGCTAGCGAACCCTTAATATATAGAAAGATTCATATTTCCCACTTCCCTTGTGCATGTGACTTGTTATCTGAAATGTCTCCTCGAAGATAGAGATACTTGGCGTGGTGTAGAGGCACGCACAGACTTGAACTTCTGTCGGGAAAGTAAATGATTGCATCGCCGGCCATCGGCACAAGCTCCCACCTCATCCCACTCGCTATGGTGGTTCTCCCATACAACCCGCCCTGAGCTGTTTACCCTTACCTTGAATATTGAAACTTCAGATATCTACAATTGGCACTCCCCACTACTTCCGGAATGGCGCAGCTACTCAAACAGTCCGTCAAGCTCGCCCTCATCCAACTCGCTTGCACCGCCGACAAAGCGCACAACCTTTCTCACGCACGCTCCAAAGTCCTTGAAGCCACAAAAGCAGGCGCGAAAATCGTAGTTCTCCCTGAATGCTTCAATTCGCCCTATGGCACAAAATTCTTCCCACAATACGCAGAAACGCTGCTCCCGTCGCCGCCAACGGAGAAGCAATCTCCTACTTTCCACGCTCTGTCCCAGCTCGCGAAGGAGGCGGGCGTATACCTAGTCGGTGGCAGCATTCCGGAGCGCGAGGATAGTAGCGACAAGTTATTCAACACGAGCCTGACCTTCGGTCCTCGCGGCGAGCTGCTGGCGACGCACCGGAAAGTGCACCTCTTCGACATCGACATACCGGGCAAGATCAGGTTCAAGGAGTCGGAAGTGTTGAGCCCGGGCAACAAGATCACGATCGTGGACCTCCCTGAGTACGGCAGGATCGCCGTCGCCATATGCTACGACGTACGGTTCCCCGAGTTGGCCATGATCGCGGCGCGCAAGGGGGCGTTCTTGCTCTTGTACCCTGGGGCATTTAATTTGACGACTGGGGCGCTACACTGGGAATTGCAGGGCCGGGCACGCGCGATGGATAACCAGGTGTATGTAGGGCTGTGCAGCCCAAGTCGGGATATGACGGCCGAGTACCATGCGTGGGGGCATAGCATGGTGGTGGATCCGAATGCTGAGGTGCTGGGACAATTGGACGAGAAGGAGGGGATCGTGATGACGGAGTTGATTCAGGGTAGAATTGAGGAAGTGAGGAAGGGGATTCCGCTAGAGACGCAGAGAAGGTTCGATGTTTACCCTGATGTTAGTCGGGGTTTTCGGGGTACGGAGTAGGGGTTTGCGGGCTCGGTTGGGGTAGCTTTTGATCACCTAGCCCTGCTTGTACGAGGAATGGAATGACGAATATGAGAACTTTGTAGTATCTAGAAAGGGAAGAGTCATCTTCTCTAATAGCCGCACCTCTTCACTTCCTAGCATCTCACAATAGCAATTCTACAAAGCAGGAGCCAACTACGGGGAAGTCGAATATACCAGCCAGTTACATATATATAGATTAATGTCGTCTTCCCTTTTCTTTCCTTTCTTGGGTTTGGTTTGCTTCAATGTTGTTCATCTCGCTTGCTGGAATTCTTTCTTAACGACCCTTCCTTCCCCTTCCCGGTAAATCGTTAGGAAGCAGCGGCTTATTTCAACGCGAGGTGTGTGTAAACCGCTTCCCTCTTCCCTCATTCTTAAAGCATTGTGGGGCTTTGGGGGGTAGTTTTGCTTTTCTTGGTTAGTCGAGCTAATAGAGATATCATGCGACTGTAGAGGCTACAAATAGGGTTTCTAGTTTTTGGGGTGCGGGGCTTATTATGAGGTGATTGGGAATTTTGATCGGGAGAGTTTGGGAGTTTGTGTATGTGGAGTTGGGGTTTCGTGTTTGGCTTGAGGTGTGTGGGCGTGGTGTATGATAATCTCGTTGTTACGTGAATTTGGTGCAGTCGCAAGGGTCTTGTGTAGTCCTTTTGGTAGGGAATCTAACTTAGACAATTGCGTGATTCCTCACGCGATTAAAGACGCAGATACCGAAGCAAATTTAGCAGTTTCTTTTATGGTTCTTAAGTTGTTGGTTGGAGATTTATGTAATTTGCGAGATGCTGGTTTGTGACACTGAGGAAACTGGATATGGATATGAATGGAAATATCTTGCACTGAGAATATTCGCAAGATGTCTTTGAATTTGAAGTTGTAAGACTGCCTGTAGATGTGTCAAGACCTTGTTCATTCATAGTTAGTATTAATCTATAATTTTCTCGAACCGATTGAATTGGTCAACTGCTCTTTTGTCTTGAAATCAAGTTGTCGGAACTAATAGTAGGGGATAAGATGGAAGTAAAATGCAAGTTAGAAAATATTATGTGCTCTTACACGAGATAAACCACCACATGTAATTGTAGGAATGTACCGACTAATCAAGCTACAGGGTTTACGGATCATTCTTGCCATATTGTGATTGGACGGACTAAGATCTAGAACGAAAATTCTGATAAGGCTGCCCCTCTTCAAGATACTATCTGCCACCAGAAATACTGGATCTTTTCTGACAAGATTTATTTATTAATATGTATTGAATAATTTCCGACATTTTCTATAACAAGTCAACTTCGGTCGGTTAGCTCAGTTGGTTAGAGCGTGGTGCTAATAGCTATTGCTTGATACGCCAAGGTCGCGGGTTCGACCCCCGTACTGACCATTTTCTATCCAGGGTGTGCGTTACGCCGTTTTTTTGCCTGTGGATTTTATTTTTAACTATTGAGTCCTACATTTTAAACCCGGACTGGAGGGTGAATGGTCTGGTAGAGCGAGCAACCTTTGTTGGGTGGCTAGGAACAGAGATTTTCTCCAAGTCTTCTCACAAAAACTTGAGCACAGTGAGCCGATTCACAGTATTCACTCGTTACATGCGAGGCCATACACCAAGATTTATTAGAATTTGGCTTGCGAAAAGGGCCGTCAATTTGTAGAGGATGATCGCGTAACCTTCGTCTAAGGCTGAAATCCGTGTCCGATATCCGGTACTAGTTTTACAATGTTTGCCTGCCGTAATGTCTTATGCATCTTTTACTTTCTATATTTCACAACCAAATCGGATTTGGGAGCTTGAATCTCTCCATTCCACCGAGCACGCTAGCCGCGTCGTGTGCCCTATAACCCCCCCCCCCAATCGAGAACCGCTACAAATGGAGAGGTCAAGTATGGACAATATTCCTGGCGAGCTCCGAATCTGGGGCTTTACCCTTTTTACAAAATTTCTTTGAAGCTCCTCATTCTCGTCGATGAGGATGCAATTACTCGCAATTACTAATATCATGCTGTTGTGCAACGGCGAGCCGAGGCATACCCGGAAGTTTGCCCCCTTCTAGCACTGAAGCCGACCTCCACCATGATCCACGATGATCCGAAACATGCGAAGAACTTTTCAGTCTCGCGTGTATCTGTAGCTATGGGCCAATCGCGAATCGCCCCTGTTCGAGGCAAACAGGGCACTCACTAGCGAAGTCGCTCGGTGTGACCGGGATAGAACCATATGAGGGTCTGTGGTTGCTTCATTAATCATGATGCAATCGCCCGTTTACCAAGGAAATGATTTCACATTTATCAGCTGTGGCACTAGTGGGGTTGTATAAAGCTTACTGAAATACCTAGAATTGCATTTCCCAAACATCACTGCTGCGGTTTCTATTTTTCATTGTTCTTGTTCTAACCAGCCTCATCTCATATACCCCGCCTCGTATCACAAGTGCTTGTCGTTGTAACACCGTCATGGTCCAAAACAAGGGCGTCATATTCAAGAGCGTCCCCAATGGCTGGCCGGTCCCAGGACAGGACCTAGTTATTGAGGATCGAGGCTTCGATGTCGACCAGGAGCCTCCAGAGGGCGGCGTCACCGTCAAAAATTACTATGCTTCTTTGGACCCTTACCAGCGGGGCAGGATGCGCCCGGCGCACGTCAAAAGCTACGCCCCTGCATTCGACCTTGGACAACCCATTAAAAACCGAATGATAATGAAGGTTATGAAATCGGACACGTCAAAATTCTCACCAGGTGACGTTATCATCTCGTCAGACACATCGCCGATAGAGGAGTTTTCGGCTTTAGGGAATGATTTCGTAGGAAACGCAAGGAAACTTGAGAATCCGTACAATCTCGATCCAAAGTTTTTTCTTGGTCCGCTTGGAATGCCGGGATTGACCGCCTGGTCATCTTTCTATGAGATTGGTCAGCCGAACAAGGATGAAACTATCTTTGTCTCTGCTGCGAGTGGAGCCGTCGGCCAGCTTGTAGGGCAGCTGGCGAAGCATGAGGGCCTCAAAGTCATTGGCAGCGTCGGAGATGACAAGAAGCTCGAATTCATTCTGAAAGAGCTAGGCTTTGACGGTGGCTTCAACTACAAAAAAGAGAAGCCCGCCGATGCCCTCGCTCGACTAGCGCCTCAAGGGATAGACATCTACTTCGAGAATGTGGGCGGTGAGCAGCTTGAGGCTGCCATCAATGCCATGAACAACTTCGGGAGAATCAGTAAGTGGCTACAATAAATGCGAATTCATGCAAGTATACTGACTAGCACAGTTGCTTGTGGAATGATATCCCAATACAATCTTCAACCGGACGAGCTATATCCCATTCGAAATCTTGGAATGGTCGTTGGCAAGCGTCTCACTATTCGAGGCTTCATTGTTGGTGACGCAAACATGGGACCCAAATACATCAAAGAGCATCAAGAGAAGTTACAAAAATGGCTTGCGGACGGCACGTTTAAAGCTCAACTAAGCGTCACGGTTGGTATTGACAACGCCATTGACGGTTTCCTAGGAATGCTGAAGGGAGAAAACTTTGGAAAGGCTGTGCTGCAGATTGCAGATCTAACCAAGGAGTAGATCTAAAGGATGTGTTAGATGATAATTGAGGCTTACAATTAGTCGCTGTTTGAGTAGATGAATGATATTATTTTTGACGGTATCGACCCCAATATATATACCAGCACGTCACATGGTTGCAAGAAAAATAGCGAATCATCACATAGGTCAGTGTAGGCGGAGTAGGCCGATATTATAGATAACTCCTTTTCTACTTCCAGCATTTTTTAAGATGCCTATACAACGAGATGGACAACGCGCAAAGTTATGTTAGATACGAATGACTTTCACGGGTCGGGTTCTACGCTTAGATCGCGCTGCATCATCGCTTGGGCGCCTAGACTGACGAATAGGCTTCATCGTTCATGGTTAGGCCATGTCGTTTCGCTTGGCACTCGTTTCGATTCATTTGACATCTCTAGCGAGAATGGAGGATTCCAAGGCTGAAGTGATCCAACCCTTCCCGACCCTTCACGATACCTCTTCTCCACTTCTCTTCTCGACCGGTATGGGGAATTGTGGTAGTTCTTTGAACTGTGACCAATGCTATTCTTCATCCGGGGAGGGTGGCTGTGTCATGCAGGTTGATGTTGACCCTGACATTGCAGGTATTGGGGTCCGGCTGTTGCTCCGATTTGATAGCCTGCCTGCTAACTGATCCGATGTAGATTCTAGTATCATTCTTTTTGAACGCACTTATAACTTTCATCGCAATTCTATGGGGATATGCAACGGACTCCCTTCCGGAAACTGTCCTTTCTAAGCACGATGTGGACGTTATCCGTTGGTATCAGAAGACCTACCTTGCAACAAAGTTTTTCCCTGGGATCAGGCGTCTCTGGCTCTCCGTCAAGACTTTTGTTCTTCGAAGAATAGCCGGATCGACACAACAGCCATTGAATGACCCACCAGGCTCCATGTCGCGACACCAACGGGTGGAGGCCATCACTCGATTCGTCCTAGCTCTCAGCGACCAACAGCTCGTCACCGGCATAGCAGCAGTGGTTGCTACCCTTGCAAATCGGTGTACCATGTCATTATTCGAATTTCGCATCGTAACATGCCTGGTCTGGTTCTCGGCGACCACGCATCTTACTACTCTTGGAGTCCTACGAGAGTACATGTATAACCATCCCGTTGTTCGGAACTTGAGAGTCATTGGAATCTCTGCCTTTTTGGTACTTCTTGCATTTATCCAGGCTGTGAATGTCGCGGCGGGGATTAATCCGACGGAATTCCCCTCAAACCTGAATTCAGTGTCGACGTTACAATGCGTCTTTACTAAAAAGCCGCGTTTCGTTTCCGTAACCCAAATATGGCTAAGATCTCTAGTACTACTCTATATTTCATTTCGATATATTCAACATATGAGGAGCTTCTTTACCAATCCTGCTACAAACGATTCTTTCGAGGATATGCTATGGACAAAGATTTTGCTGAGATTCCCAACTTCCAAGGCAAAGAAGTACCGTAAAATACCTGACCCACAATGGCGAGTCATTCTGAGTAAAGCCAACGCAAGTTACGAAAAGAGATTTCAATTTCCATTGGCATGGTATCCTCGATCATTCCTCGCAAACTTTCCACAGTTCCTCTACTTTTTACTAGGAGGAATTTCCCTAACAATTGCTACAATTTGGGTAACTTCTGTACAGGTGTCTAAAAAGAATCAAGATCTAGGGTTTGGACAGGTGGCTGCCCTAACTATTCTAGTGCTTCCTGCGCTAGCTGCAGCTGAAATTTACAACGGTCAGTCCCAATGTAGCCTAACAAACTGGGTTAGCTAATGATAATAGAGTCTCGGGTTTCATCTCGATACCGAAGTTCCCAGGAAGACCCAGGACAACAGGATCAAATGAACATTCGCGAGACCCAGCGGTACAGAGACGATACTTCTCTCGTTTTGAATCGCAAAAATTCGACTGACTTGAATGCTCTCCGATTTTATGCGGTACTCAATAAATTGCCTGTGGGTATCGTGCTAGGTGTCGACTCCACATTCCTAATTGTTGGCGGTGTACTTTACCCCCTTTTGGCCGACATTTTCTCGATCTTCGCCCTTCAGTTGCTCATGCTCCCTTTGTCCTACAGGGTTGCTGCCGCTTTATATCGTGTCTATAAAAAATTGCCAATACTTCGTAGGCAAATTGAGGAGCCGCAATCGACCAATCCTGGAAATTCAAGTTCCACGGAATCGCTATCAGGACCAAAGACACCAGAGGAGGCTAATCAGGACTCACCTGCGTTGTCGCGAGCATCTACCGGAGTAGAGGCAGAGCCGACACGGATCGGACTGAACTTGAGGCGGCAAACGACAATCAATGAAAGTAGTGAAGAGACGTTCCCGCCACCAGTGCGCCAGGACACGGAAGCTGATATTGCCCTGGTCCCTTTATCGCAACAAGATACACGAAGAAGACACTAGAATCCTAGAAATTATATTATGTGCTGTTTGAGATGCATTGGGTTGGTGCGTAGCAAAGTTTTCATCGATTGGCTGATAGATTTGGGTTTCTTTATCACAGCCCAGAAGACGTTGTGTACTTCTATGGGAATTCTACTATTAAAATTTGGTAAGACCTTTTTCCGAATTATACAGCTTTGATGCTGTTTTTAAGTCTGTGTCATTTGCTAGCGTTGGTCTTTGCGAAATATGGCTAGGTGGGAATGTAGTTTAGTTCCGATTTAGCCTGAGTCTCTTTCGACTTCTTTGATGGATCCTTCGTTCCTTTCTTATCCCCTCAGAAGCTATTCGATCAATTTATCCTGCCTTTCATTGACGAGACGCTGCTATCACGTAACATGGTTCTTAGGTTGTGTCCGAAGAAGCCTATT